GGGCCAAGCAAGGATGCTTAATCTCACTTAGAAAGGGAAACAAAATAGTCATAGGAGGCAGACGGAGGGAGGGAACTGGGTAGAGGAATAAACTGCAAGATGAGTTGTGGGAGGGACAGGAGAGGGGGAGAGAGGGCCAGTGGCCTGGAGAATTAATGGAAATCTGAAGCTGGTGGGGACCAGAAAGTCTCCCAGGAATCGATGTGGGCGACCTTAGCTCAGACTCACAGCAGTGGGGATATGGTATCTGAAGAGGCCACCTGCTGTAGACAGGCAAGAACCCTATTGGAGCAGTAGAGACACCAAAACACCCACAAAACTTTCAACTCAAAATGTATCCTGTCTACAAGAAATGCAGGGACAGCGGATGGAGCAAAGACTGGGGGGATGGGCAAACAGTAACAGGCCCAATTTGAGACCCATGCCATGGTCAAGCACCAATTCCTGTCACCATTACTGATACTCTGTTGTGCTTGCAGACAGGAGCCTAGCATAACTGTCCCCTGAGAGGATCCACCCAGCAGCAGACTGAAACAGATGCAGAGACCCACAGCCAAATATTGGGCAGAGTTTGGGGACTTTTATGGAAGAGTTAGGCAAAGGATTCCAACCCTAAAGGGGATATGAACTCCACAGGAAGACCACAAAGTTAACTAAACTGGACCCTTGGGAACTCTCAGAGATTGAACCACCAACCAAAGAACATACACACGCTGGGCCCTCAGATACGCAACTCAGTCTTCATGTGGGTCCCCCAACAACTGTAGCAGGAGCTATCCCTAAATCTATTGCCTGTCTGTGGAATACATTCCCTAACTGGGCTGCCTTGTCTGGCCTCAGTGGGAGAGGATGCACCTAGCCCTGCAGCGACTGCAGAGACATGATGTGCCTGAGCGGAGGGATACCCAGGGGGGCCTCTACCCTCTTAGAGGAAAAGGGAGGGGTATGAAGGAGGGACTGGAGAAGGAACCAGGGGGGACATGTGGCAATCGGGATATAAAATTTTAAAGGGGAGGGGTGTTTAAAGTATCACTCACATCCCAACCTATCTTACTATGGCTTTGATGACACACCATGGCCAAAAGCAATAAGAGAACTTTTTTTTTTCACTTACTGTATCATATCACAGTTCATCACTAAAGATAGTCAAGGCAGAAATTCACACAGGGCAGGAACCTGGAGGCAGGAGCTGATGCAGAGGCCATGAAGGGTGCTGCTTACTGGCTTGCTCTCTACAGTTTGCTCAGCCTGCTTTTATATAGAATCCAGCTGGGGCCACTAGCCCAGGATGCCCCCATACTAGGCCCTCCCCTATCAATCACTAATTAAGTCTTGCCTTCAGCCTGATCTCATGGAGGCATTTTCTCAGTTAAGATTCCCTCTTCTCAGATGACTCTGGCTTGTGTTAAGTTGACGTAAAACTAGCCAGCACACAGCCCAAATCCTCAATTCTGACCTCTGCCGAAGGCTGAGAACTGAGTCTATGCCCCTGCTTGGTGCCACTGCCCAGAGGCTTCCTGCCCTGGTATTCAGGTTCTGAATTCTCCTTCTGCTCTGTCCGACTGCAAGATAAGCTTGGCTGATCATTTTTAAAAATCCATGTGGCTGCATTATATTTTCCAAGAGTTCTATGGTTTGTACAGCAGGAGAGATTACTGTGTCCACCCCATTGTGGGAGAAGAAACTGCTTATAAAATGCTATAGGCAAACCTGGGACTCTCACCTACAACCTCCAGCGTTTATGGAAAGGGGCCTCAGCTCATCCTTACACCATCTCCAAGCCGCCTTAGGCAGCATTTCGCTGCTGAGAGATGTTGAGCAGAAAGAGAATAAAACGCACGAAGATGTTTCCCCTGGTGCTGGGAAGTGTGACAGTCTGATACTCTGCCCTCTGGGTCCATGGTGCTCATCTGCCCTCTGTCTTCATCTTAGTTCATTCCTCAAAGATGCCTAAAACCTCAGGAGTTGGTGTCTGCTTCAGGATGGAACTGGATGAAAACAGGAGCCTCATAATTTACCTCTCATCAAGTCAGCTCTGGCCAGGGCTTGTTCTCAGGATCCAGCGATAAATGGGCCTCAGCTTATTCTAAATTTATATTCAATAATTAATTTGAAAAATTTTAAAGCATACCAGGCTAGAAATATCATTCCCTGCCTCTTTTGGTTTGGTTTGGTTTGGTTTGGTTTGGTTTGGTTTGGTTTGGTTTGGTTTGGTTTGGTTTGTGGTTGGTTGGTTAGTTGGTTGAGTTTTTTGGTTTGTTTTGAGCATTGTTTTATTTATCTCGAAAACCATAAAGAAGTTCGACATATATTGTAATACCGAAGCATCCAGTTTGGAAAGAAAACCCCACATATATATGAACACAGTTCTAGTGTTTCCTGGATTTACTGGGTTCAGGAAACACTTTGGGACTGGGTCTAGGCCAGTGGTTCTCAACCTTCTTAATGCTGCTGCAACCCTTAAATACAGTTTCTGATATGCAGTGACCTCCAACCATAAAATTATTTTCATTGCTACTTCGTAACTGTAATTTGGTTTTATGAAATGTAATTTAAATTTGTATGTTTTCAAATGGCCTTTGGTGGCCCCTGTGAAAGGGTCATTTGACCCCTCCAGGGGTGTCGACCCACATGTTGAGAACAGCTGCTCTAGGCCAGCATTACCAGAAGCATCACTAAGGCAGGACAGACTGGAACCCCTCCTTGCAAAGTTAAGTCTCTGTGAAGAAGCCTGAGTTCTGTATGAGCGGCAGTCTTCCACATACAAGAGTCACCTGTGATGTCCACATGCTCCTGCTCCCCTCCCCTCACCTCACGCCATCCTTTCCTGCCCTACACAGGATTACGCAATGCTCCAGATACTTGTGCCTCCTGGAGAACCCAGAAGTACATCAATGTCCTTTTCTCTGGGAACTGACTTGTCTACCAGATTCACAACCAGCTTTGCAGCGTTCGCTTGGTCACATGATAAAAGCTGGCAATGCATCTCTCACAGACGGCCATTTGATGCTTTTTAAACGGTACATCTAAGCAATTTCTCTGTTGCTGTGTGTTTTTCCTCAAATGACATTTTTAAAGACATCCTTTCAATAGAAGCCTCTTCTCCAGCAAATGTGAGACAGGTCACGGAAGAGTTCAAGGATCACATAAGAGTTCAGATATTCCATAGCCTCTACTAGTGCATTCAATCTAAGAATAAAAGGGAACCGCAGGTAAGACACTATGTATCCATTGTAAACCATTCGCTTAGCTACTACACACAGCTCCTATTTCCTTCAATTACCAAAGTCAGCTGGAAAACGAACCTACAGAGAAGGCTAGCAGGGAATCTGCGCTAACCTTTCAGGGATGGTTCCTTAGAATTCACTACTTAATAGGTCAACCCCTATTATTATTTTGAATGAGGAGTTAACTAGAATTCAACTTTGGGCAATCCTTAATTTCTTGATCCATAAAATGGAGATGATAAAAGTATCTGTCTCACAGGCTCAAGGTGAGGTTTGAACTGAGACAACTCACGCCTGATCAAAGCGCTCAGCCCCTATGCCCCCTCTTTAGGATTCTTTTGATTTAGCTGCTGAATGTTATACTCTGTACATGGATTACATGTTACTGCATTCAATTTACAAATTTTAAATCTACCTCCCTATCTTCATTTATATCCTTTACACAGATTTTATCAGCACCATATAAAAATACAGTTTTCCACCCTCCGATTCCCAGGTGCTTGGGATTACACAGGCCTGTGTTATCCTATCAGGCTCCTTGCAGTGCTTGCAAAGTACAAAAGCCTCTTGCAGAGAGGCCTCTGGCTGCCTTAGTGAGTCCAAGCTCTCACTGCCTACTGGTATCACCGGATCAAAATCTGAGGAGTATTTTGAGGAACACAAGTGGCTCCTATAGCTCCATCATCAAAAATAAACCCACTGCCGGTGGCATTATTTGGGTACAAGAAGTAATCACAACACATTTCTTAGGCCCGAATATTTGATCTAGAATCAAGCGTAGATTTTGTTACTATAAAGTTCAAACTGTAAAATATGTGTTTTTCTGTTACCAGTCAGCCCCTTTACAGTGGGAGAAATATAAGACGTTAAAATGGGCTTCTCTCTCAGCACTCAAGTGACAGTCAAAGTCTATATACAGCATACAAGCCGCCTCCCTCTGTAGAAATGGGTGGAAATCTTAGCAACCCTGTAACTGAGAGTCAGAGGCTATAATCTAGTGAGGAGAACAGACAAACGCCTTCAATGTACTGCCTTTAAAACTTAACTGAAAGCAAACCAGTGGGACCAGTCTTTTCAGTGTTCTGCTTTTAAAACTCAGCAAAGCAAAGCTAGAAGACACTGTGCTGTAACACTGACCTCTGTGCTTTGGTGTGCAATGAAAAACTGGAGAAAGTTGAAAGAAAAATCTACAAAGCAGTTATGAGGAAGTCTCCCTTCTGCTGGAATGTGTTAGACGTGATTCGCTCCGTCTGCATTTAATCCAGGGAGTCTACCTTCAACAGGACACAGCTTCTCTCAGTCGAAACTGTCAAAAAAAGCTTGACTGTTTCATGCTATCACACCAGACATGGATCATGAGTTCAAAACCAGCCTGGACTACATGCCTAGACCATGTCTCAAAAAAAAAAAAAAAGAAAAAGCAAGCAAACAAACAAACAAAGGCTACCAATATCGAAGTATTGGAGACTTTTATTAAGTCAGGCATTGTGGAGCACAGAACTCTCTCACTATAATAAAATTGTTATCGGCCTTCAAGCTACACCAAAAAAAGTTTTAAAAAATAAGGTACAAACCTAGGAGTTGTAAAATACCTCTATCTTCCTAAAAAGGAGAAAGGTTCTAAATATCATAAGACAAACACAAATCACCCCTACTTAAGCCACAGTATCTGCTAAGTAACATGTTTATGACAACTGAAAACGCTGGGAGAGATCTGAGAATTTCACACACACCCCTCAGCACACGGGGGCTGGGGAGCACGCCATCACTCACCCCATGTTCCCATCCATCAGAAGGACGGTATTATATATGTGAGAGAAGATGAAGAGAAACAGAATCGTGCTGAAGAACATCGTCATCCACGACCCGTGGTCTTCTCGGAACATTTTTAACCGGAGCAACTGGCCTGAAATATAAATAGTATAAGTCAGTGCACATTGGCAAGTGAAACTCATGTCTCTTTGCTTTACTTTAGCCACAGGAGTACCTCTGGGACAAACCATGATACAATGCCTTTCTGCTTTTTATGAAGAAAGAATCCCGAATAAAGTCCAAGATAACCAGTACCCCTCTAGAGAGTGGTATTAATGTGAGAACGGTTGCCCAGGCGTCACCCATTGCCCGGGGGTCATCCATTGCTCAGGGCTCATCCATTGCCCAGGGGTTATCCATTGCCTGGGGGTCACCCATTGCCCAGGGGTCATCCATTGCCCAGGGTTATGCCTGGGGTCATCCATTGCAGGGGGGGATGCCATCCATTGCCCAGGGGTCATCCATTGCCCAGGGTTATGCCTGGGGTCATCCATTGCCCAGGGTTATTCATTGACCAGGGTTCATCCATTGTCCAGGGGTCACCCATTCCCCAGGGGTCATCCATTGCCCAGGGGTCATCCATTACCCAGGGGTTATCCATTGTCCAGGGGTTATCCATTGCCCAGGGGTTATCCATTGTCCAGGGGTCATCCATTACCCAGGGGCTATCCATTGTCCAGGGGTCACCCATTGCCCAGGGTTATGCCTGGGGTCATCCATTGTCCAGGGGTCACCCATTGCCCAGGGGTCATCCATTGCCCAGGGGTCATCCATTACCCAGGGGTTATCCATTGTCCAGGGGTCATCCATTACCCAGGGGCTATCCATTGTCCAGGGGTCACCCATTGCCCAGGGTTATGCCTGGAGTCATCCATTGCCCAGAGGTTATCCATTGCCCAGGGGTCATCCAATACACTGGCACAAGGACACATTAGAACACTACCCTTGCTGTATTTTATTTCAGAAATACACTTTTAGTCCACACTAAAACTACTTGTGACTGACGGCGAAAAGCCAAGGAGTCGATTCTGCACAGTTTCCTTTTGCTTCCAGACATCCATCGTAAAACCACGGTGGGCTCCACTTATAATGAGATAGGATTTCTTAAGGGACAAGACAAGGAAAACAAAGATACTGTCACCAGAGGCAGAGGACTTGGCTTCACTCTTAACTCTTAAAAAGTCTGTACAGCCACACATGTGAGAGGGGATCTCATGTGTGCTACAGGGTGCAAGGCGACTTTGTTGGAAAACATAATTCCCATTCTCACCCACGGAATCCCAGCTTACAAAGAGAAATTATATAAAGAGAAATAAGGTCAAAGTGCTACATTTTTATGGAAAGCAATATATAGTAGAATAAGCACTGAAATGAAAGTTAATATCAGAAGTGTTCCAGAAAATGTTTAAATTTATGAATACAAATATTCTGAGACATGAGTACAATAATTCTTTTTGTCTATAATAAAACTCAAGAGTAAGAAAGTGGTGACAATGGGCCACCTGGGCCTCTCTAAAGATAAACTTTGTCTGATGTAGTTATTTCTATTCCTCAGAAGGGTGTGTCATCAAGAGCAGGGAGATGGTACAGACAGAACCATGGTAATAGGGTAAGGGCTGGAGATGGCTCACAGTTAGCATCACAGAGAGCTCCTACTGAAGACCCTAGCTCAGTCCATGAGCTCACATCAGGCCATTTCTTTCTCTCTCTCTCTCTCTCTCTCTCTCTCTCTCTCTCTCTCTCTCTCT